TAAGTAAGCAATGCTCTGGGAATGCTCCAGGCTAGGAGGTCTAGACTCTGATTCTGGTCCTACCACTAATTAACTGGATAACCTTGGCAAGTCACTTTCCCACTCTAGGCTTCAGGTTCCTCATCTATAGAATGAGGAGGTTCTAAGTCTAACAACTATGGACCAATGTAAGACTGATGTCAAACTGGATAGTAATATGAAAAAATTAGACAAATCTGATATTAGAACGTTGATTTAAAGGACAGCGAGTACTCCCCTACAAGGCAGACCAAGTATGCCTTAATCTTATGAAACAGCATGCTCACATGACAAAATGCTACACAGCCAATTAAGCCAGTGACCTCTTAAAAATACGCATCCCAGGATCATCCATTCGTGTCAAAGTATTTTGCATATAATCCTTATTAACTCTCTTCCGAAACAGCTCCATGTTTTTTCCCCCCATCATCAATAAACATTTATAGAGAGACTTCAGGGCAAAGATACAAAGCTCCAGTCCGTGAGGAGTTTTCAGTTTAACTGGGGAGATGAGCATATACATTTTGCTAAAGTAGCATATTCATGAATGAGGAAGGCCCACCAGAGGAAGTGATTTGTTATGCTCTGATAAAGAGGCCGTGCTCCTTTTCTTTTCTGAACCTTTTTTTTTTAACAGAAGTTTTAAAAAATAAGTACATAGTGGTTTCCCCTCACTATACAGAAGACTGCTACTAGACTGGCTGTTCTAACAATTGCCATCTTAACCAACCAGCACGTCCCTAAAGATGTCCAAAGCTGGACTAATAGCTCTTAAACATGTTTATAAGCTATGCTCTCTCCACCTGGGCTCCAAAGTTCTGGGTTTCTAGGGAGTCCTGGGTAAGTAAACCTGCCATGGAGGACCTTCTCATCAAGCTTCCAAGACCATCTACTGTTGCTGGCTGTCGTTGATTTTGAGGGGTAGTTGCTTTGGGAATACAAAGGGTTTGTGAGCACCACAACCAGTGGGCACAAATGCAACTGATTCATTAATGTGTCACAGACAACTAGGGAAGCTGCCACAGTTGGAAATGGGCTCATGGCAGGGCTGGAAATGGGTAACTTTTCTCAGAACATTACATGCTTCTAGCATTTAAGTCTTAGGTGAGTAGGATCAATGTAAAGTGTTGTAGATGGGTCACTGGAGGAAGACATTCTGAGACTGTTGGTATAGAATGACAGTTAGACAAAATTAGAGAGCAGAGGTCACTTTAAAGAAATGCCAGTTCCCTTTACATACAAATGACACTTTTTACACACTTCAATGAATGCCAGAAGTGGATGAGATGTTGGTGATTACGTGGTTGAACCCCCAGTTGGCAGGTTACTTCTCTAAGCATTCGACAAAATAACCCCTCAACTCCAGAAGTGCAGGACTTTTATTATCCTGATATGCCCCCTTCTCAATGGGTGTGATTTCTTCAGGAAACCAGAAGACTGGGGGTCTAGTATTGGCTCTACCACTGACAAGCTACATGAGGTTGGCCAAGGACCTTTACTGCTCTGCCCATATGTTATCCTGGGGTAGAGGTCATCAAGCAGGTGCTGGAAGGCTGGCCCTAGCTTTAGCCCTGGAAAGGGGAGTCATTTTGTCTCCTTGCTTAGTCAGGATTTACACCTCTCAAGATGCTACCACCATGAAGGAAGCTTGGGTATTACTTGAGAGGAAAGGCAAGGAAAATGGGTAGAGTGGAGGTGGGGAGGACAGAGACACCTATAATGACTCCATGGTGGAGGAAGACCTTTCCAGTTTGTAGAACTGCCCACGCTCAAGAAAACTAAGGCAAGAGTCGAGCACATTAAGTGACTGTTCCAGATCTCAGAAGCAGGAAGTAACAGCCAAATGGGAACCCAGTTCCTCACTCCAAATTCAGTGCCCTTTCCACTACTATTTTGGGAGATTGTTGAGTCCTAAACAGAGGTTCTCAGAGCCTCTGTAAAGGGATTTTCCAGTCAAGTGGAAGGTGGAGGGGAAGAAAACAAGCATTTATTAAGTGCCTACTATGTGCCAGGCACTGGCTCTAAGCACTTTACAAATATTATTTCATTTGATCCTTGTGGGTCTAACTGGTGAGATTAATTGTCTGCTGCCTGGATGAGGGACACCATTTGACAGACCTCGTCAAGGACAGGCAGTCAGGCACACTACACACAATGCTAGTCTAGAAGTCTTCTTGACTTCCCAACTCCAACATTTACACTTTGAGACCTCTTGGGCAAATTTCAACCTCTCTGAGTTCAATTTCCTCATCTGTAAAATCAGGGCTAATCATACCTACACCTCATAGTGTGGCTATGGGGCTCAAAGGATATAACATATGTAAAGAATTTTGCAATTGAAAGGGGTATATTACCATGTCCTGAGTTGGTCAAAAGTTTAGCTATCCATATAAAGTAGATCAATTCTTGGTGACAGCTGGTTCTTTTCTACTTTCAAAGACTAGTTTACCAAAGATTTATGGAAATAAGAGTCAGCTTTCATATGGCAGAAGCCAAGAATGCTTTGAGATAAAGGATTTTATTGTAGTGATTCAGGATGAAGCAACTGCCACCAGAAATTACTGCAAGTACATAGAGTATATACAAATTTGAAACAGATGATAATAGGGTACTAGCAAAGAACATGAATAGCTAAGCAGCCTCAGCTGCTTATGGCAACAAGTTTAACAATGATGCTAAGCATTTCAACCAGCAATCAAACTTTAAATGGGGATTGAAAAATGCTGTAACATATGCTTAAGTCTATCCTTAGAGTATTATTTCAAAAAACAATCATTACACTAAGAAGTGGGAAAGAGCTGTAAAAAGAAACCAAAAAATTCTGACAAATAGATCAATTATTTTACTGACATAAGAGCAACTCACATTTATGTAGCACTTTATCACTTACAAGAGAGACAAGAGATGTCAAGTGACATGCCCATAGTTACATGGCTTTTAAATGTCAGAACAGAATTTCAAACACCAGTCCTTTCTCATTCCAAGTTCAATATTTTCCCTATTACACCAAGCAGTCTCCCAATAAAACCCAAGCTATCCCATTTAACGGAATGTTGAAAAAAAATCTTCCCAAGTTGTGGTATGTGAATGTAATGGAATACTATTGTGCTATAAGAAATGATGAGCAGGCAGATTTCAGAAAAACCTGGAAAGACTTGTATGGACTGATGCTGAGTAAAGTGAGCAGAACCAGGAGAACGTTGTACACAGTAACAGCCACATTATGTGATGACTTTGATAGACTTAACCCTTCTCAGCAATGCAAGGATCTAAGACATCTCCAAAGGTCTCATGATGGAAAATGCTCTATCCACATCCAAAGAAAGAACTATGGAGTTTGAATGCAGATCAAAGCATGCTGTTTGCTCTTTTTTTTTCTTGTTTGTTTTGTTTCCTCTTTCTTGTGGTTCTTCCTATTGGTTCTAATTCTTCCTTACAACATGACTAATGTGAAAATATGTTTTAATAGGAATGTATATATAAGAACCTATATCAGATTGCACACCATGTTGCAGAAAGAGGTGGGGAGGGAGTGGGAGAAAAATGGAAAACTCAAAAGCTAATGGAAGTGATTGTTGATAAATCAAAATAAATCAATAAAAAAAAATCTTCCCTCGTATCAAAACATAAACTAATCTTTTACTTTAGAAAAACTCCCCTAGCCTGGGATCATCTTGTATGTATGCCAGCAGGATAGATACTGCCTCTCTCTCCACTAATCTCTTACACTCAGACAATATGACTATTTTTCAAAATTAAAAAAAGCCAACTACTTAACATAAAAATTCATATCATTAATGATCAACCTTGAACAGTTTTCTCAAATCATTAAATCACAAAAATTCATCGGATCCACAAAATCCTCATCAGCTTTATCAGTATGTATTAATACTCTCTCACACCGTTTACTTTGCTTCTAACTTAAGACTCACAGGGGCAGGTGCCTAAGAAACATCATCTAGTCCAAGTCCTCAGATACAGAAATGTCCTGCCCCAGGACACACAGTCAATGAATGCTATGGCCACAAAAAGAACCCCCATGTCCTGATTCCCCGTCCAGTGTTGTTCTCCTTGTAGCTTGAGACAAAGAGAACACAACTATCACACCACAGCCATTATACTCAAAAGTACAAAGTCCTCCTAAAAGGCCAGAGAAAGGAGATACAGAAGCTAATCAAGTTCTTTTAAGCCTATTACCTGATTTTCGGGACTATCTTAATTTCTAGAGCCCCAAACAGTCAGTCTTGTACTTTCAGGGCTGACCTCAATAACACGATGTTCTCTAATGTACTGCAACATGGGCTCCAGGCCTCAAGTTTTCCATCTCTCCCACTAGGGGAAACACATCATGCAGGGCCTATTTTGCTTCTAGGAATGGCCTATGAATTGATGAGAATGCCTGAAGTATTTCCAGCAAAGAGAAAAACAAAAAACTGAAGACTTGTCTGCAGCTTAAAATTGAAACAATCACAAGTAAAAGTCTTTGCCCAAGACTTGTTCAAAAGCAATCCCAAAATAGCAGAATATAAACAGATCTATTTGGTTAGTATCAGAATTTTTTTTATATCCTGAAAAAGCAGGCTTCCTTAAGTGGGATCAGTGCAGCTGTCCCAAGAAATTTCTTTTTTGTTTTGTTTTTTGTTTTTGTTTGTTTTTGGCTAGGCAGTGGGGTTAAGTGACTTGCCCAGGGTCACACAGTTAGTGTCAAGTGTCTGAGGCCAGATTTGAACTCAGGTCCTCCTGAATCCAAGTCAGAGCTCTATCCACTGCGCCACCTAGCTGCCCCACCCCCAAGAAATTTTTGCCACTCACATTAAAACAGATTTAGCTATGCAGTAAAACTGAATGGCAAGAGGCATTATTTGCTGTCAGTGACACACAGAGATACTAATGACATCAGGACTGGTACCTTAGAGAAGAACAAACAGAAAGAGTAAAAGAAAGAGTAAATGCTTGTTCCAGGCGGTGCTTGTGCATCTTACCCACATATTCTGAGAGGAAGACGACAAAGAATGGAGTGACCAAGTCATTAATTCCCTGCACGTAGCCACTGGCAGGGTGTCGGATGGCCCAAATGAACAGAATTCTTTCAAAGATCTAGGAAAAGGAAAAGAAGAGAAATGGTGGGGTTAAAGTCTAGCAGACCATCCCCTTCCATGTATCCCCCTCATAGTATGTTGCAGGGTTAGTGCTGAATTAAAAAAAAAAAACTCTCAGCACACCAATATACTCAGGCTAGGAAGCCTAAAATGCTTACCTAATTCTCAATTATGTAGGTGGTTTTTTTTATCTCTTCCTCCTTACATAATCTCTACAAGGTGGGAACAATAATTAACATGTCTATAGCCCTTGAAAGTTTATAAAGTGCTTTCCTAAGGAGCTGTCAAGATTATCCCTATGTTGTAGATAAAGAAACTGAGGCTCAGAAAACTTCAATGACTTACCCATGGTCACACAGTATTGGAGCTGGGAGAAGAACCCAGATTTCCTGACTCCAAGTCCATTGCTTTTTCCATTAGAGGATGAAACTCAGATCAGGTCATTTTGCTACCTGGACAATGTCTGGAATGGGTAAGTTACCCAATTACTCTCCTACCACTCTAAGACATGAGGGTTGACTGCTTTTTAATTTAATTTCAATTCTGAGAAGAGATTAAAGAGTATTTGAGCTCTGTTTCTCAAAGATCATTTCTCTCTTTTTCATGTATTAGGAGATAAAGGAAAAGAAGATCAGGAATGCCATGCTGTAAAAGAGGAAGGGGAACTAAAATAATAACAAATTCATATTTAACAACTTAACACTTACAAAGCACTTTACTTACAACAACTCTGTGAAATAGGCACTACAAGTATTATTCCTGTTTTACAAATGAGGAAATTGAAACTGAGAGGCTCAGAGATTTTTTCACGGCTACAGAATCAGTAAGGAGGTAGCTCAAATTAGCTATACACAGAGGAAGTCAATTTACAATTAGGACAAAACAGAAGGTAACCTAGATATTATCTTGGGATGGGAAGTCATGTACATTACAGTCAATTAAATCCTTTAAGTTGGGAATTTGAAGACAGAGATTGTAGTCAGGGTATCAACGAGAAAGGCTCTAAGGATAACAGAACCTCAGCAAGTGAAAAGAACCCAACTGGGCAAAGAGAAAGATGGTACTAATGTCCTGGAGCTCTCTTCTCTGCTCACTCCAGCCCAAGATTACTTCTCCTTCCCCTATACTCTCCAATTTCCAAAACAGTCTACACACTTGTTCTTTGTTTCATTCTGATTCCTATGCTTTTGAGACCAGACACATCCAGAGGCTGGATTAGGTAGGGACTCAGAAGACCTAAATTCTGGTCCTGGTTCTTCCGCTGACCTATAATCATGTGTAAGTCCTTTCTCAATGCTGGGCCTCAGTTTCTCATCGGTAAAATTAGGGGGTTGAACTAATGATCCAATGAACCATTCAGCAACTTGATTTCAAGTTGTATTCAAAGACTCCATATTTTACAAATCTGAGTCATAAAAGACAAAGGCAAACCAGAGGCAAATAACAGGTAAAAGAGGGCTCTGTAGCAGGATTACATGATAATCCTAATCCCAAACTCTTTTTAAAAACATGCATTTTATTTTCCAATTACAAGTAAAAACAATTTTTAACATTCTTTTTAAAATATAATTTTGAATTCCAAATTCTCTCCTTCTTCCCCCTAAAGCTCCCCCAATTAAGAAGGCAAGCAATTTGATATGGATTATAAATGTGCCATCATGCAAAATATATTTCCATATTGGTCACACTGTGAAAAAAAAACACAGACCCCCAAAATAAAGAAAGTGAAAGATAGTATGCTTCAATCTGAATTCAGACTCCATCAGTTCCTTCTCTGGAGGTGGAGAGCATTTTTCATCATGAGTTCTTTGGAATTGTCTTGGATCATTATGTGGCTGAGAAGAGCTAAGTCATTCACAGTTAATCCTCGTACAATATTGCTGTTACTGTGCACAATGCTCTCCTGGTTCTGCTCACTTCATTTTCAGTTTATGTAAGTCTTTCCAGCTTTTTCTGAAAGCATCCAGTTCATCATTTCTTACAGGTCAATAGTATTCCATTACAATCACATATCACAACTTGTTCAGCCTTCCCCCTTTGATGAGCATCCCCTCAATTTCCAATTCTTTGCCACCACAAAAGGAACTGCTATAAATATCTTTGTACAAATAGGTTCTTTTCATTTTTTCTTTTTTTATAAATCTGCGATACAGACCTTGTAGTGGGACTGCTGGGTTGAAGGGTATGCAGTTTTGTAGCCCTATGGGTATAGTTTCCAATTGCTCTCCAGAACGGCTGGATCAGTTTACAACTGCATCAGCAATGCATTAGTGTCCCAATTTTCCCACATCCTCTCTAACATTTATGATTTTCCTTTTCTGTCATATTAGCCAATCTGACAGGTATGAGGTAGTACCTCAGAGTTGTTTTAATTTTCATTGTTATAATCAATAATGATTTAGTGTATTTTTTTTCATATGACTATAGATAGCTTTGATTTCTTTGTCTAAAAACTGCCTGTTCATATTTGACCAGTTATCCATTGGGGAATGACTTGTATTCTTATAAATGTGACTCAGTTCTCCATATATTTGAGAAATGAGGCCTTTGTCAGAAATATTTCCTGCAAAAATTTTTCCCTAGCTTTTCACCATCTTTGGCTGCACTGATTTTATTTGTGCAAAAACATTTTTAACTTGATGTAATCAAAATTATCCATTTTACATTTCATAATGTGCTCTATCTCTTGTTTGGTCATAAATTCTTCCCTTCTCCATAGATCTGACAAGTAAACTATTCCATGCTCCTCTAATTTGCTTATGGTATCACCCTTTATGTCTAAATCATGTATCCATTTTGACCTTGTCTTAGTATATGGTATGAGATATTGATCTATACCTAGTTTCTGCCAATCTATTCTCTAGTTTTCTGCAGTTTTTGTCAAATAGTGAGTTCTTGTCCCAAAAGTTTGGATCTTCGGGTTTATCAAATACTAGATTACTATGGTCATTTACTACTGTGTATTGTTTACCCCATCTAGTCCACTAATCTACATATTTTCTAGCTAGTACCAGATTGTTTTGATGATTACTGTATTAAGATCTCATATGGCCAGGCCCCTTCTCTTCACTTTTTTTTCCCATTCATTCCCTTTTTTTCTTGATTTTTTGTTCTTCCAGATGAATTTTAGTATTTTTTCTAGCTCTATAATTTTTCAGTTTGATAGGTATGGCACTGGATAAGTAAATTAATTTGGGTAGAAAAGACATTTTTATTATATTGGCTCAGCCTACCCATAAGCAATTAATATATTTCCAATTAATTAAACAACTGATATTTTTCTAACTGACTTTGTATGAAAAGTGTTTTCTAATTGTGTTTCTATAGGTCCTGAGTTTGTCTTGGCAGGTAGACTCCCAAGTATTTTATAATGTCTACAGTTATTTTAAATGGAATTTCTCTTTCAATCTCTTGCTGCTGGCCTTTCTTGCTAATATATAGAAATGCTGATGATTTATGTAGGTTTATTTTATATCCTGCAACTTTGATAAAGTTGTTAATTATTTCAACTAGTTTTTAGTTGATTTTCTAGGATTCCAAGTATAATCTCATATCATCTGCAGAGTGATACTCTTCTTTCCTCACTGCCTATTCTAGTTCCTTCAATTCCTTTTTCTTCTCTTATTGCTACGGCTAGTATTTCTAGTACAATATTGAATGATGATGGGGGTATTCTTGCTTTACCCCTGATCTTACTGGGAAGGATTCTAGCTTACTCTCATTATAGATAATGCTCGCTGATGGTTTTAGACAGTTACTACTTATCATTTTAAGGAAAGCTCCATTTATTCCTATGCTTTCTGGTGTTTTGAATATGAATGACTGTTGTATTTTGTCAAAAGCTTTTTCTGTATCTACTGAAATAATAATATGATTTTTGTTGGTTTTGTTATTGATATGGTTAATTATGCTGATAGTTTTCCTAATATTGAACTAGCCCTGCATTCTTGGTATAAATTGTACTTGCTATCGTGTATGATCTTTGTGATATATTGCTGTAATCTCCTTGCTAGTATTTTATTTAAAATTTCTGCACTAATGTTCATTAGAGAAATTGGTCTATAGTTTTCTTTCTCTGTTTTCACTCTTCCTGCTTTAGGTATCAGCACCATACTTGTGTCTTCTTTGCCTATTTTTCCATATAGTTTATATAGTATTGGAATTAATTGTTTTTTAAATATTTGGTAGAATTCACTTGTGAATCCATCTGGTCCATGTGATTTTTTTCTTAGGGAGCTCATTCATGGCTTGCTCAATTTCTTTTTCTAAGATAGGATTATTTAAGCATTCTATTTCCTCTTCTGTTAATCTGGGCAATTTGTGTTTTTGTAAATATTCATCTATTTCACTTAGCTTGTTAGAATAATTGGCACATAATTGGGCAAATAGCTCTTAATAAATGCTTTAATTTCATCTTCATTGGTGGTAGAGCATTTTCTCATAAACTACAGATAGCTTTGATTTCTTCATTTGAAAACTGCGTATTCACATCCTTTGACCATTTATCAATTGGAGAATGATTTGCAGTCTTATAAATTTAACTCAGTTCTCTATATATTTGAGAAATGAGGCCTTTATCAAAGAAACTTGCTGTAAATTTTTTTCAAAGTTATGATTACTGTGTATTTCCCTCCATCCTATATTCCCCCTCCCCTTCTCCTTTCACCCTATCACTCATTTCTTTTTCCGATTTTTCTTCTCTCTTTTTTTGATTTTTAAAATCCTTTTAGAGCTCTTCCAGGAATTCTTGGGGGGTGGGGTGGGGGAGGACAAGACCAATTCAGATTTTTCTTTGAGGCTTTGGGTGTAGCTATTTTGACTTTGTTGTCTTCTGAGTTTGTTTTGATCTTCCCTGTCACCATAGTAACTTTCTATTGTTCTGTTTCCTCATTTTTCCAGCCTATTTTTTGACTTTTGACAATATTAAGGTCGGGCTATGCTCCCAGGGTGGAGGAAGCATTGTCTCAAGCTTCATATTTTTTGTGCTGCTGTTTTCAG